GTGTAAGTAATGTAAGTAATTGTATTGTTAGTAATTATCCAGTAAGTGATGTAGGTAATTGTCCCATAAGTAATGTAAGTAGTTGAACTGTAAAAAAAATAAAAAAATAAAAAATGTTACAGTTACACGTGACTGTCAGGTGATTAGATGCAAACATGAACAACCGACAATAACAAAGATATTACAGTCGAACCTCTCCACAACGGCCACCTTGGGGACAGAGGAAAGTGGCTGGTTTGGTGAGGTTGGGATGTAATTTAGGCTACGACTAGTCCCTCTTTGTCTCGGTGTAATTTGACGCCTTGTTTTTTCCTAGGGTTCAACCTTTTTATCTTTAAAAAAAATGCTTAGTGTATAGCTTGTAAATATGCAACACAATCAAAATGTATTAATAAAACAGAAACCAGACAGAAACAGAGACCAACAATGTGCGGTATGGATCAAGTTTTGTGACTTTTTCCAGTACAAAATGAGGTTTTGTAGACACCATTCGTCCGTTGTTGATTAACTGGCTGTTGTGGAGAGGTTATTTTGGTAGTCGGGACATGTGTAGTGGCTGTTGCTGCTGTTGCCACTGTGGAGAGGTGGCTGCAGTAGAGAGGTTAAAATAAAGGTGAATGTATGGACCATCCTCCAGGACCAAAAAAGTGGCCATTGTAGAGAGGTGGCCATTAGAGGAGGTTTGACTGTATTCTTGATCAAGAGTACAGTCATGTGAGTCATGTCGGGCCTTGTGTAATTTTACTTCAAATTGCCTCAAACAGCAGCTGAAGAGTATAGCAATGACCTTCTCAAAAGACGCTAAAGACCATTGATTGTTCACAAACATTAGACACTGTTTGATTACAATATCCTTCTTTGTTTTTAGAATTAAAAAGCTTACAAAATCTGTTGCAAACACAGGGAAATATGAGACTTCAACTTACCAATTTTTACAAAGAAATGTATGCCAGGGGGCAAGCATTGCCCCCTGGTATACATTTCTTGTGAAAATTGGTAAGGGGAAGTCCCATATCTCCTCGAGTTTACAACCAGATATATGAAAAACTGTTGATATTGCGTGACATTGTCAAAGTGGTCTCTTCATGTAGTTCAGATAAGTTCACTATTACTATTCATTTATGCTGCATTCTTTCAGAAAGGGAAAACTTTGAAGCAGAGGTTAGACGATTTGGTAGCTTTGCTTCAAGCTGCCATGCAGGAAAAAGCACTGAACTTGAAGGAGCAGTGGAAAGGGAGCCACAACTAGTGACTGTTTCCTCACAAGTTTTTCCTGATCATAATGAGTTTGTACCACAGGTACGAAATAAAATGTAAAGCTAACCATTGGCAAATATTTTGATTGATGGACATGTCTTATTTTCATGGAGAGGAGGGGGGATGTTAGTCTCTTTTTTATTCCTCGATAGCTGGTCATATGACACACCTTCAGATAAATGTACATGTAATTAACCTGTGAGATAATCATGAAAAGAACTCTATATTATTCTAACAAATCAAGCTCAGGCAGGATATACTAACAGTAGTTACATGTAAGGTGCAGATGAAAAATTGACTTTACTGGTGGGTTTAGGTTTTAGGCATTAAAACATGTTGTTAATGAAACCACTGTAGGTGAGCAAGATGATTAACCACATGGCCTTGAGTGAACTGCGCCACTTCATAATAGACTCAGGTCTTTTCTGTCTTTTTTGCGGGGGGCCAGGGAAGTAGGGGTGATTTGTATATGCCCTTGCTTAGCTGACAACATTACCAAAACAGTGAGAGGGGAAGGTGCTGGTGCTGATTGAGTGGCATGTGCAGAGGTAAAAGATAGAAAAACTGAAGGGAGGGGAAAGGATGGGAAGGATCTGCTGAACCCAAAATTGTTAGCACTCAGCAGCATTACCCATGCACGGGAGTGGGAGAGGTCTGTAGTGTTGAAAAGCTTAAAAGGAGTGGAATTAGTTGGAAAAGTAACATTCACCTTTTACACAGGTTTTTAATCATTATTGCAGGACTTGGATGAAGGAAACTTGGAATCAGTTGAGGTAGCTTTGCTTTGTTGTTTGTTTGTTTGTTTGTTTAATTCTTCAATTATATTCTTTGCTTATTTTTCCACATATTTCTAATAAAAATTACTTGTCTGTTTCTAGAGTGTTGACTCTTTAAAAGCACTACTCCAAGAGGAACGTCTTTTATATCAAACAAGAATTACAGACCTTGAAAGAGAAAAAGAAGAACAAGTAAAAATGGATTTTTCTTATTATATATCTTGCCAGCCTGATATGACATACTTCACAAACTGGCCATTTGTAAAGGCAGTTATAGTGAAATGCTGATCGATTTATGAATTGCCCAGGAACTGGATATGTGTTTGGTATATCAAGGGCTTGTTACATGGAGGTTCTTGTTCCATGCATTTCATTGTTAGTGACTTCACCCCTCTGAAACAGACCTGGTGAAACTTGACTTGATGGGTTATTTTTCCCTCCATGTTTTTTTTTCTCCCTCACCACAAGATGGTGAACATTGCAAAGCTTAGTTTTAAGAATACATCAGGGTGCAGGTACATGTGTATTTAAGTTTTGTTACTCACTGGTGTAGAGTTTAGTATTCCTGGTGGGTTTTGCTGCCTATGAAAACACAATTTGTGAGCCATAAGATTGAATTCCGCTGAAATCATGCATGTGACATATCCTGTTCTTCCAGTGTATTCCTTTGCAAGATTTGCAAAATTGTAATGGAGATTTGGTGCTCCCGAAGCCAACATTTCACTTTCCTGCAAAATAGCGTCACTTTTAGTGTCAAGCAAGGTCAATCAATGACAAAAAATGAAAAAAAAAAAACCCTCAGTAAGGACTCTGTGCATAGAGTTCTATAATACATGTATGTTTTGATTCCTGAAAAACAAAACAAAACAACAACAACAACAACAACAACAACAACAACAAAATGATAGCTGACTTTGAAAAGGTAATATAAGCGAACTCTGAAAGGTAATGGTACTTGTAACTCAACATATCATTTTATGGTTGGTGTTTACAGGTAATTTATTAGATATAAATAAAAACTCTGATGATATAACATGTCCTAGTCATATAAACACAGTTGATGGAATTACTACATGTATGACTTGTAACAAACATATTTGTGCAAGCTGACTAGAAACAGGGGGATAACTTGGCAAGTGTTATTCTAGATTTTCAGTTCGTTTAGATACAGATTAGGGAAGTTATTAAACCATAGAATATACATAATGTACTGCAGCTATATATAATACAGTGGAACCCTGCTTTACGGTCACCCTTTTAATGCAGTCACTTAGTTAGTATGGTCACTTTTTGTCCTGGCGAAACACCCATGCATTTTCTTATAAGAAAACCCTGTTAATGCTGCCATCCCATTAAAAAGGCCAACAGCCATCTTTCCGTTGTTAATACTCTATGTATACACTGATTCAAGTTAAATTTTTTTTAAAAATTATATCTGCGTTCTGGATGCTTATGTGTGTTAAACAACAGTTAAGAAATTCAAAAATTATTGTGATATAAATCTGTTAAGACACCATTCAATTTAGACCAGTCATGAGGTTTGACCCTACCCTGTTAATACGGCCACCCTGTTAATACGGCAAAATTTTAATGGCCCATTGGTGACCAGATTAACGGGTATCCACGGTAATTGCATTGTTTCCTCATGTCAAATTTCAGGCAGAGAATTTGAAGCTGAAACTTTTCAATGAAGAAAAAGAAAAGAATGCTTGGAGAAAAAGATTTAAACAGGTACGAAGGCCTTCCATTTCTGATCACTGTTTTTTCAATAAAAAACAATATTGCCCCATAGTGACAAAACTACAATCGTGGACAAAAGTCCTTGGGACATTTATGTAATTTAACGAATTATCTGTGTTTTACTACTGAAGTTTGAAAAAAGCGCTGCTTTCCTTTTAAAAACGAGTTACTGTTCCCCCTCCCCACCCAATGCAATGTTGAAAATCAGAAGAACTTGCAGGTAGCACACTGTTTTCAACATTGTATGGGGGGTGGGGGGCGAGGTTAGGCGGGTGAAATAGTATTCGGGTCTGGCGTGTGCGCAAAAGCACCAAAAGTGCAAATTTGTCCCAAGACTTTTGTCCATGGCTGTAGGTAAATCTATAAGTCACTACTTAATAGGCAATTTCTTGTGCCTCTGTTTCAAAATGAGTCCTAATGCAAAACTGTTTTGCACAAAACAGAGGCACAATAAAACTCAGAAATGGCCTATTGTTTGAGTCACACTTCCCCCCTCCCCCTCCCCCTCCAAAAACCAGTCAGTGTTATAATATTAAAGAAATAGAAAACATATACCCTGTTTCTATTGAGTTATAGAAACACAAGTGGAAGTTTGGGAGAACAAGAAATGCTGTGGGAACACAAGCCACAGGCAAGTGTTTCCACAGCTTTTTCGAGTTCTTCCAAACTTTTACCAGTGTTTCTATAACATGATAGAAACATGGAGAACATGTTTTCTATTTCTTTTAGAAAAAACTGCGACAAAAAAAGGAAAACAGCTTGTTAACTTTGATTATCAAAGTGTAAATTCTCTTTGCTCGTGCCATCATTACATCAACAGCTCGTGCTAGTTCTGTATTTCCATCGAGTTATAGAAACACGATTTTTAACCAATCAGTGTGAGTATTTTCGTAGGACTGTTTTCAAGTGTATGATGTTGGATGTACATTGAGACCTAGTGTATTAAAGTGGTACTATGATCAAATTTTTCCCCCTTGATTTTTTAGGTGTATCACATAGAATTCCATGAAAGAATAAAAACACCATTTAACGTTTGCAAATATCTGCATTAGTTCCAGAGATACCGGTATTTAAGTTTGAAAAATGTGTAAAATATGCAAATGAGATGACTGATGAAGTCATACACTCAACCCAATTTTATATCAAGTATATAAATGGAGCTATCTTGGTCAATTTGCAGCGCAGACCATTGAAACTTCAGTTGGTAGGCTAATAGTTCTACAGGAAAAACACCTATGGCTATAAA